CCAATGAAGTCAATATCACTGAATTCCGACATCACTAAGACCCTCAAATGACCAATGAACGGAGCACAATCGTAGGATTCAATATCGGCAGTCCATTCAACCACTCCCTATTCGCCCTTGATCTCACGCCTATTTAGGGCCATGCCATTCCATAAAATCTATAAAATAAACCCATCATTCTTCACAAGAGAGAACTCAAGCAAGAGAGAGAAGAAGAGAAGAGAAGGAAGAAGTTCCTCCTCGACGGCCGCCGGACCACCGCCGGACCAGCGCTGGAGCACCGCCGCACCAACGCAGGAACCTCGCCGAACTACCACTGAAGCCTCGCCGGCACCACCACCAGAGTTTATTCACCACCGCCTAAGGCCGACGTTCAGACCCGACGCCCTGCTAAAGACCCGACTTCTCCTGAAGGCCCTACGTTCTACTCAAGATCAGATTATCAACACCCGAGCTTCCAAGTGATTTCAGGCCTAACACCCGACTTCTATCAAACAGTTACTAATTGTAAATCTGATCGCCCTGAGAGGGGATTCAGTTCTTTGTAACCGACTCAAAATCTAGTGGATTTATTTCAACTAGGCTAGGCACCGTGTTTTTCCCTTTTTAAGGTTTTCCACGAAAAAATCTTGTGTTTTCTGTGTGTGAGCTAGTTATCCGTACAACGTTAAGACGCAGAATTAAATCTCTATCGCCGCGTATACTCATGGACGCAAACAGTTTGGCGCCGTCTGTAGGAATATAGTTAAAACTTAAAAATGTGAAGAATATAGTTATAACTTAAAAATAAATTTATAATTAAAACAATAATGTGTTATGAATTTAATAACATGTTAAGTACAAGTTACTTATTAATTATTATTTACATTATTAGTTATATATTTAATAATATATATTTTTAAGATATATTAATTAAGAAAATTATATTAATATTTAGGGAGATTTATATACATACCACTTAATATTACTCTATTTACATATTTAACACATAAAACTTTAATATATATATAAATACCACCCATAATTCACGGTGCAGCGGCCCTTGCACACTTGTCATTGTAATCAGGCCATACAGCGCGTCGCTTTCAGGGGACGTCCAAGCAATAATACAAATTTTTAAAGGATTTATGTCATGATTATTCGACAAGTTTTACGCTAGCTGTCGACTACATAACGCAACCCTCCACTTTTCTCATCCAGGACTTGGGACCTGGCAATGACAGTGTTTAAATTTTAAACTTCCTTCCAACTAAAAATTCATTGGAGGATTTATATAAATAATAATAATTTTTTTTCTAATTTATATATTTAACACATAAAATTTTATTATTTCACTCAAATAATATTTTATTTTCTAAGCTAAATAAGTAATATCGCCGACATCCTCTTATATTCTTCGTTGTTTTGGGACACATGTACATATTGTTGGTTCTGCTGATGACCTTCCCCAAGAGAAATTTGATTGTGATAGCCTCTCATGCTATTCATCATCGACAAACTACACATGTCATCGATTCGAGATGTCCTTCCCTAGTGAGATCACGTCGCAACGCCCTTAACATCCACGAAATGGGATGAACATAGAAATTATTATGTGCGGAGATCGGACGGCTAGAACAGTCTAGATTTTCTGCCTTTTTGCTGGTCTTTTGCAAATACTCAGCAAAAGGACAGCATATGAATGCATATTTGCTGCTCTTTTGCTGATTATTTGCAAAATCGTAGCAAATATTCAATTAGCTAAGTATTAGATGCGTACAAATACTCAGCAAAATGACAGCAAATATGTATTCATAATTGCACTTTTGATGTCCTTTTACTGAGTATTTGCAAAAGCGAAGCAAAATGATAGTTAAAATATAACAAATTCAGACGGTTATCGCCATCTGGTCTCTGCACAGAATAATCTCTCACTCACATAGAAATTTTACAGGGTGGTAGATTAAATAAGTGATAATGTTAAAGTGTCAAATGTATAAACTAAATAGTTGCAAGCGATATTCAAGTAAATCCCAAAAAATCATTTTAATATGGTAATTTCTAACTCCCAATTAGAATTCACACATTGGAGAGATTACCATTATTAATTTGCTAGTGCTGCCATCCACCGTCAATGACCATCGTCATTTAATTTTACGTTGCATTCTTTTTACTTCAAAAAAAAAAAAAAATCTCATACATTAATTTTACATTCATCCAAAATAATTTCAAATATTACAAATATACTATATTTTTTTACATTACATTTGTTTTATTGTACATTCGTTTTTCAGAAAAATTTTCTGCTTGGATATTTTCTCTCTCTTCTTGTATAACCATTTGAGCGAAGAATCTAAGAATTTCATTTGAGACAGCCTAAATATATTTTTATCTTTGTTAGAATTTTTTTAAATAAATTTTTTCAACCTTAATTCCTGTAACATATTTTCAAAATTTTCTGAAACAAGATTTTCATCCAAACAGATTTTTTTCCAGCACAAAAACAGTCAAAATGTTATCCCAAAGGACTGAAATTCTGAGCTAGATTATAGAAACATACGCAGAAATAAAAATAAATAAAAAACAAATCCAATTCTGTATGATTTGAACCACAGATATGTATGAATAATGACATTATGACTCCATTTGCGGCAACATTCATACCGCTTCCTAAAGCAACTTCCTAGCACAAAAATATATAATTGAAAGAAACTGGCGTATGAAAAAATTACTTTAGAAAACAATACAAAAGTTGTCCCAAATGAAGCTTATAACTATTAGTAAGGATTTGTTTGGGACAGCTTTCTTACCGCTTCTTAAAGAAACTTTTTAGCATTAAAATTTTAACTTTTTAACTATAAAGCTGCTTTAAGAAACAGTAAGAAAGCCATCCCAAACAAAGTGGAACGGCTTTCTTATTGTTTTTTAAAGAAACAGTTAGAAAGTCATCTCAAACAAAATCTAAAAAGCTTTACTAAGAATTTTACAGAATAAGAGGACTGATAATAATGGTTCAAAGATAAAAAAATTGCTCCATAAAACCAGATACCTATATAATATATATAATGTATTTTATCCATATTTATGTCAGATGGCTCATACAACATGAAGATTTCTATGAATAATACTTTAACAGTATAAAATTCATTTTTTTATTTAGCATTACAAATGATTACAGCCCATAAAGAGACCTCTTTGAAATACAGAGATCTGCATCGACAGAAAATCTCATGCGTTGATTATACAATTTTCTTCTAAGTGATTGAAGCTGTGAACCCTCTTATGTCATGATTTAGGTTCCATTTGAGACGGTTTTTTTATTGCTTCTTAAAGTAAATTTTTAGTACAAAAATTAAATTTTTTGTACTAGAAATCTATTTAAGGAATAAGAAAGTCGTCCCAAACTAGGCCTTAGTAATAGGTAACAAAGAAATAAAATAATAATATTTTCAAGCGAAGAGTATCTCAGGCTTGTATTTATTCCTGTTTGAGGCTTGCCTCAATAGCTGTCCAAAGCTTTGGATCTTCAAAATCTTTTATGAGCAAGGAGGCTCCAGCATCTATGAGTGATTGCTCTGGATTCCTGGTAGTCACACCTACTACAGGCAGACCAGCAGCCACTCCAGATTCGATACCAGACACAGAATCCTGAAATATAATAAAATAAAGTAAATTTTAGCCTATAAAAGACCAACTCTTATAAAGTGAAGGGTTGAATGAAATACATTGTAGTTGGATCTTTTTTGAGAAAAATGATTATAATTTTAAGATGTTATAAGCATGCAACAATAATAGTTTCTCTGTTTGCAAATATGGACAACCAATCATAGATCCCTCGCACTTGTGAAATTATTCTGTGCAGACACCGAACATCATTCAGAGACCAACCAGAATGCGCCACGTCATCCCCTGCTTGGTACTCTTCGGTACTGCGGCACGGTACTCGACTTAGTACAGCTGATGTGGCGTCCACACAGAATAATCTCTCCTCATACACATGTTAGGGTTTCTTGAAACCCGGGCATATATGTTGGCAAGCTATTTAATAGATTTATTCAAAAGTTAAGGATGACACTCTCATTTATGAGATCGAAATAAAGATCTCAACAATCAAGTAAGATAGTCTCTCTGTCATTGATTATTTTAATATAATGATGATGACTTAGATTGAACTACATTACTATCAAGATTTCAAGATGAAGTTTAATGAAGGAGAGGTAATTCTTAAATAATGTGCAGGAAGAGAGAGAGTGTTTGATTTTCTTGCAGGATAATATAATGAATTTGATTAAGTTTGTGTTCAGATCTTGAGCAGAGAAAGCTTATCATCTCTAAATGAGTTATTCACACTCATGCAGATTGAAAAAGGAAGAATAATGGTAATGCTTGAAAATCCTACATTTGAAAATTTTGTCATAAGACCCACAGAACCTCAAGATAAAGGCTTTGCCGCCAATGATTCTTTCCCACCAAAAAAAAAAAAAGGAATAAAAGTTTTATCCCAAAAGTAATCTATGGTATAACTACTATAAGGCAAATAGACTCATTAAAGAAAAATGTTGGAAACTTCACGAAAAACCCTAAAGCTATAGTTCAAATAAAAAATATCACTGATAAGGATAGGCTTGTAATGCAAAATTACAAAGAGTTCAACTTAAAAGAATTCGACAAATTCAAAAACTTTCTCAACTCTCAAAAAATCATATGAATCATCCCCTCAAGCCCAAAACAGTACAAAATTTAACTCATATTTTTAATGTTTGAAATAGTTCACCTTAAACTTGAATCCAAGATCCAAGAGTCATCGATTACATCATAAACCTCATCAACATTTTTAAACCTAAAAATCTTGCTCTAGTATTCCAAGATCCAATAGTCTATAGTTCACTAGCACCTATTGTAGATCAAGAGAATATTCCAATTTCTCCTACATTTATTTTTAAAAATATATTACATATTTGTCGCCATGCAGTAAATCTCCTATCAACTAATAAAATCACGAAAGATCACAGCTGCAAGACAACTTTTTTTACTAATCATTATGTATTTTAGGGCATCAACATTAGAAAGATGATTGAGCATGCTAGAGAAAATAATAAGTCATACTTCCTCTAAGATTAAAGATAACTTGTCATGTTTTTTTATCCCCACTTTCAATACAAAAATGATTTGAGAACATCATTACATGCTAGAAAATCTGTCTTTGAAAACCCAATATTATATATATCATTCATTTTTTTATGAATGTTAACATTGAAAATTTTTATTATGAGATTTGTGAAATTGCAAAACATTATATGTTTTATTTTTTGAAAGTAATTATAGATCCTATACTCATTTTTATATTAATTTAGTATGATGTTCAGGGACTAAAAATCTTTAATATTTCAAGAGCTATAGTATTTGTCACTTTTATTAATGATTGAATTTGGATGATCTGAGTATATCTTATCAAATAAAATTTTTTTGTTAGTTTTATTCTCTTTATCTTTTTTTTGTTATGATAAGAAATCAATTTTATTACAACATCAAGATATTTTGAATAGATAATGCTCGTAATTATTTTAATTAGATTTTATCTTCTTTTCTCAAGAAATAATCACTCACCAATCCTCCTGTCTTGCACCTCTCAATAAAATGAGATGGCAAAAAGAAAAAAATTGTTATCTTTATCTTCTGGAAGTCAAGATAACTACTCTCCTAAAACCTAATTTTCAAAAGAAACTAGATAGAAGATGTCCTAACGATCATATGCAAAATTAATAGAATAACCTTGACAATAATTGGCTTCAAAAATCCCTTTAACTACCTAACAGAATTCTTCTCCACAATAATTTTCTCCAAATTTTTTGGGTGCATTTCTCATGTCTACATTCACAAATAATATCAGAGTAAGCATGATCCTAGAGCACTCAAGTTTCTTTTTAGAATATTCCTCTACTCAAAAAGGTTATAAATATTATCATCTTAATATGGAAAAATTCTTTACTTCAAAAGATATCATCTTAAATGAAAAAAAAAAAATTTCTTCAATCAGATTATCTTTAGGGGGGCATACAATTTGAAGATAAGTTTAATAAAAATCCTATATTCTATTTTCACATCCTAGCTACACAAATTCTAATTACTATAGCTCTTCTGGTTTATACAAAGAGCAATAAGCTCAATCAAAGCCTCTATCAAGCTCAAGAATAAGAACCATCATCAAGTAACAATGACCAACCCATCACCACACATTTACACTATATCCCAATACCCAATATATATCCTTTCATAAGTTCTCTACTACACATAAAATCTTCCATACGAACATCGGCTCCAATTATATTTTTATGTCACAAACCTCACTGAGAAAAAAAAAATAGAATGATTCTATAAGAAAAGAGATAAATGCCTTAAAAAATTATACTTAGGAGATTGTTGAGCTACCAAAAGGGAAAAAAATTTCTAATATGCAAATGGATTTTTTCATAACAATATAAAGAGAATGGATGAAAACCCGAAACTATACAAAACATGATTAATAATCAAAGGATATACTTAATCATATAAAATTGACTATCAATAAATATTTGCTTCTATTGCAAAAATGAAAATAATTCGCATCCTAATTTCTCTAGGTGTTAACCTGGAATAGTCCATTAATAGTATGATGTAAAAAATAATATTTTAAGTGAAGATACAAAAGAAGAAATTTACATAGATCTAACATCAGGATTTGACAACACTTTCACAAAACATTAAGTGTGTAACTTGAGAAAGGCGCCATATTAACTTAAATAATCTCCAAGACACTGGTTTGACATATTTACAAAGGTCATGAATCTCTAAGGATATAAAACAAGCAAGGAAACTATATGCTCTTCATTAAACACTCCAGTGATGGAAAGGCTTCATTCTCATTATATATACTGATGATCTAATTGTTATAGATGATAATAGAATTATTAAGAAAAAATTGCTAAGGAATTTGAAATCAAAGAATTGAGAAAATCCAAATATTTTTTGGGTATAAAAGTTGCTCAATTAAAACACAAAAAAATTCTCTAAAAAAAATGTTGTAGATAAATTATGAAAAATAAAAAAGATTGATTGTAAGCCATGTGAAACCTCAACAGAATTAAGCCAAAAACTAGACACAATGAAGAAGAAACAACATTAAATATTGGATAATATCATAAGTTAGTTGAGAAACTAATCTATCTATCACGCAACCAACCTGAAATTGCCTTTGTAGTAAGTCTCATAAGTGAATTCGTGCAAAAATCAAAAGAATCTCATCTTCAAGCAGCTTATAAAGTTCTCATGTACCTTAATCAGAATTCACAACAATTGCTCAAAGCACTTGCGAACTTCTATAATTAAAACCATTTTACAAGATATAAATACTAGATCGGTGACATTGCATTTGTCATCAACATTACTCACAATCTTGTACAACATGACCTTATCAAACATGTAAAAATTGAAAGATAATTCATAAGAGAAAAAGTAGAATGCAGATTGATTTGCAGCCCATATATTCCAATTGGAAGGCAATTTTCCAACATATTTACTAAAGGACTTTAAAACCCCACATTTAAAAATATGACAAATAAACTTGAAATGGCAGATCTATACCAATCAAATTGAGGGAGAGTGTTATCAGAATAAGAGAGGTCAGCAAGAATGCTAGAAAAGGAAAGGGAGAGACCACGAATCCATTGCTTGCAAGAAAATATCTCCCCCATAGATTCATATACAAGAAAGGAAAGAAAGGCCTTGGATTACTCCCTTGCATCAGTCGACGAGCCCAACCGGATCTAACGGTAGGAATGGAAGGGATGGATAGCAACAAGGGCCAAAATATCATCACGAGGAATTTTTACTTTTTTTTATCAATTATAATTATATATATTTCTTTTATTATCTTAGTAGTTTTATGTATAAATATCTATTGAAAGAATAAACAACCCAAACTTTTCTAGCCACTTCTTTTCTTCACATAATTATGTATAACTATGTGATTATATATTTATTTGTGTTATCAAGTGCAACAAGCATACACCTCTCTAAATGCTAAATAGCGGCATATCCAATTCATTAGTCTGATGCTAATAAGGAATGTAGGAAGGGGTTAATGCACCATCTTTATACAATATACATACATAAAAAAAATAGTTTTCATAATGTTCATAAATATAATAATTATTGTAATTCAAAACATCCTATTGTTTCTATATCTTAATTTCTTAATATGAATATCATATCATATCGTATCATATCCTCGTGTTTTATGTTGTTTTGCTTCTAAGTTTTGCTACTTATCTACGTAGAATAAAAATATACATAAAGTCACTAATGACAATAAAAGAACTAAAACATACCTCAAAAACAACTGTATGTTTAGGGGAAGCATTGAGTTCCGTAAGAGCTCTTAAATAAGGATCAGGGAATGGTTTGGCCCTTTCACACTCACATCCTAATACAATAACTTGAAAGAAGTCACTAAGTCCAAGAATGGAGATCATTAGTTCAGCGTTAAGTCTTGGAGCATTAGTCACCGCTGCACATTTCAATCCATGATCCTCGATCCATTTACATAGCTTATATAGACCATTCACAGCCTTCAATTGCTGAGGAGCAAGCCTACATTGTTCACAAATCTGTCAAATTAATATTTGAGAAAAATATCAAAAGGGTCCATGAACTATTTATATAAGGTCATTTTAATTCCTTCTATCTAATATGTTCAATAGTGTATAATCTAAAATAGTCCGTCTGTTAAATTATTTTAAATCAGATTTGAAAAGTCGGTGGGCTATTTTAGATCAGATTTGAATAATCAAAAGGTTAAATTGGAAACATTAGATAGTATAGGATTATAATGCCCCTCATAAATAGTCAATGAATCATTTTGATCTTTTTCAAAAAAAAATATTTTGTTTGAAAAATTGTTAGAGGATTGTACCTCACCTTCGAAAACTTGCCTCTTTGTCATCTAAGAATTTTGCACATTTCTCAAAGCTCCAATCTGGGAATAAGGCTTTGCCAAGATAGTCATTGTGTTTTCCACTGATATTTTCAACATAGAAGTCCTCAGTAATGGGGATTCCATTGTTGTAGCCTATCTGCAAAACAAATCTGACCTTTGTTCAGAAGTTCGGAGGCTACAAACATGTACGATTATTTGGATGCAGGAGCTTCACGAATAACTTCAAACCTCAATAAACATCTCACGGAAGGCATGGTAATGAATAGGATCTGAATCACAGAGTGTACCATCAATGTCAAATAACACAGCTTCAAGTGGAGCAAGTTCTGGCAAAGATTTTCTGTGAAAAATTTATAGTTCTTGTGTCAGTGTAGTACATAGTAGAAACAGTTTGCTTTTCATCATAAATGCGCCAAAAGGAAAATTACGCTGGTGAATTCTTAGACCCATATAATATTTGGAACTCATTGCGTTATCAATGAAGCTAATTTTTGCATTTAGAATCACAGAGTTAAGGTTTGACAGCAGCAATCTTACCAAGTTAACTTGCAAAATTTAACTTCACCAAAAAAACATTTAGAGCGCTTATTGTAACTATAACTATATAATTTTACTTAAAACCATGTCTTGGGAAATTCGTGTAACTTATTGAGCAGAGGAAATGGAAAAGAACATAAAATATAAAAGATGATCAACACACAAAAACATAAAACTTTATACAAGTGCACCCAAATGTCTTCTATGTTCTTTTGCCGCTGTTGTATATTTCAAATGATTTGATTGTGATGAATTACAGTTCTAATTCCTCTAATACAACAACATAAAAATAGTGCCCCGTTTTTACAACAAAAAAATTAATGTGGCGAAAAATGCAATAAAATTTTCAAAACACCCTTTAATGAAATAATATGTGGCATGTTTTCTTCTTAGGGCAAAAAATGAACTCTAAAACTTAACAATTAATACTTAAATGGGGGATTAGCTTCCTGCTGGCCAAAGGAGAAAATAGGTTTATCAAAATATTAAACAATGCACCAAATTTTTTGCTACAACCCTCAAATGAGGGCCAGCTATAATGTAGCTAACGATACCTACACTTTTCAAGAAACAAAATATTATTGATTAAAACATAATAAATTATAGTGATATTTATTAAGGTGGAAGGCAACATTAAGAAGCTAAGCCACAAAATTACAAAATATGAAAGGCGAGAGGGCAAGGCACTCACGATTCAAACTATGGCTTCGTTTAGGATAACATTTTTACTATGCTTTTCAAATCGCAGCAGCCACAATTTTTATTTGGTCATTATTTTTTTGTTGTTTTAAAAAAAATTACTAGAAATTTGCTTTCTACAACAACTTCAAAAGTTATTTTCTCTACAACAACTTAACAAAATAATAAAAAAGTTGTCACAAACAAAACCTAAGACATCAACTTCATAGAGTGACATTCTAAATAAAATATTTAGGATATTTTTTCATAATTTGACATATTGACATAAAAAATCGCGATATCTAAAAATAAGCATAATAAAGGATGGATTCAAGAATATAATATAATAATTTTAAAAAGAATATAGTAATAAAGCTTTCATGAAATAATAAATCACAATTCACTGAATGTGAACAAGAAAAATAAATAAGATAATAACAGGAGAAGTAACATAACATAATAAGAATTTATTAATCAAGATAGAAATCATATAAATCAAACAATCCGCTAGAAAAAAAAAACATGCGGGCAAAAGAGAAAAAGAAGATCTAGATAAAAACCCACGTAGTGGGATAAAGGCTTGATGTTGTTGTTCTTGTTGGGCAAAAGAGAAAAAGAAGATCTAGATAAAAATGAAGAGGAAGGGTAAGTGTAGTCTGCTGCTCCCTATGATGAAAGAAGAAGCAGCTCTCAAAAGTAATAGATACAACTAAAATGAGAAATAAGTTATAAATATAATTAAGTACAAGAAAAGCAAGAATTTCCCAAACGTTGCACGAAATAAGAAAACAAACAAACAAAAACTAACAATGACAGAAGACTGTAGATAACGAGAAAAAGCATATAATCCATAAACAAAACACCATTTAAATTAATCGCATACAAGGGCGGAACCCCTTGAGCTTAAGGGGGCAATTGCCCCCCTAAATTTATTATTATTATTATTATTATTATTATATGATTCTTTAGGTAATTTGTCCACTCAATCTATTTTTTAGTATTTATTACAAGGGTTTTTAGGTAATTGTCCCTCCAAAAAATTTGTGTTCTTTGGACAATTGCCCCCAGTATCATTAAACATATTATGTACATGTGTTATTGTCAGGGAACGATGAACCAAATACAAAGAGAACGATGAACTAAATACTAACAGGTCGAACCCTGTCAAGGGGTGCTGCCCCCTTGGACCCCCGATACATCTGCCAACAGTTACTTATAAGTTTGCCCCCCCCTGAAAATTATAATTGGTTCCGCCCCTGATCGCATACTAAGTTAAACAAGTAGAAAGAACAAGATAAACAATGGAATAAGCTGAAAATTTGCCTAATGTTAAACAGTGCCTTGCCAAAGAGGTTGTTGCTTGGCTAAAGGCGTTGGCCTTTCTTTATATATATAAAAAAAAAAACTTTTGGGTAAAAATTTGGTCTCAAGAATTGCTTCGCGTCAATCAAACAACAAGCGCATAAAGGTGCTAACGCCTCAATAAGCGTGGCTAGTTAGGATTGAAGATTTTAAAAGCAAAACCCTGAAAATGTGATCATAGTTTTTATCATTTCATGCATACCAGTTTCAGAACAAAAGCCCTCAGAAAAGTTAATAAAAAATTCCATGCGATAATAATCAATGTCAAATTCATGCCCTAATTGTTTTTATGAATCTTCTGCTTGTTGTGGCGCAAGTGGTATGAACACACAAAGTCAATTAAAATAAGTGTTGATAAATAATTCAAGTATTACTATTTTCGATGTATGATTCATATCATAACTGATGTCAGGAATCTTTTCTTTCGATTTATAATTAAAAGTGGGTATACATACAAATGTCAAGTAAAATAAGTGTGGATATATAATTCATTGGCCATCCCATATTGGCTTAAAGTTATAATGTTGAACAATTCTAAGGCCTCATTTGAGATGGCGTTTTTTTGTCTATTCCGTTTAGAAACGGTAAAATTATTTTTTGTTTGTTGTTTGTATGTGACGTTTTTATAGAAAAGCTTTTTAGGGAACTTCATTTTTCTATTTTGAGAATCTTTTTGATATTTGCTTCTATGTTAGAAAACTCTATTTCCTTCAAAAATGTTTCTAAAACTAAGTGCCGGATAACCAAACGAAGCCTAAATCCCTCATTCATAGTCCCTTTTGGTTATTGTCCAACATAATCAAAGAACAAACAACATTTCACTATTTCATATGTTAATTGCATCCGAACACCCTATAGGCACCTCCATGATATTCAAACTATGATTTTGACATTTGCAGGTTATCTAATACTGTACTTCGAACGCGATTAAAAACTATGAAAATATGAAGTACCATACATCATTACATTTTGCCACTTCAGCTTAAACACACTTGTAAAATTCATTTACCACGGCTGTGATTATCTACAATATTTACCTACTCCGAATAGCTGGGAAACATATAGTATAATTGAAGTTTTAGGCGAATTCAACGCGAGACCAAATGCTTCACGATATCAAAATTACAGGCTTTTAATCAAGTCTAATGAAGAAAATAGAGCCTGGAAGCACGTTTAAGCTCCTAAAAAAGCCTCCATTCTCCATCCAAAATGAATGTAATAGCAAATCAATTTACTGGTTAAGAAATTTTTAGATAAATGGGAATATTGAGGGTGGTGGGGCAAGGCGAGTAATTTAGTATATAAATGTACGACAACCTAATCAACATCTTTCATAGTACTGTTCGTTTTAGAGGAAGACACTGTCCTTGAGAGAAAATGTTCAAAGACATTCAGGCATATCTAGTGCGCAAGGTTTCCAACAAATGTAGAGTCTAGGGAGAGATTGGTATATCATTTGTACTGGAGCAGAACTGTTAGGATGGTGGTAAAATAACGAGCAAAAAATAAAGGAAGACAAGGGAACAACAAAAAGAAATTAAAAACACAAGACAAAAATTTATGTGATTCAGAGAGATTCGTCTACATACAACCGCACAGAGATCAAATACTTAATTAAAATTTAAAAGAGGTATATGAAGAGAGATTACAATTCATATAAATAAAGATAAATGTACCACTTTATATATGTAAACAACTGACAGTAAACATAACCATCGATTGTGAAGCAAGAGCTGGATAAGATTACACTTTATATGAATAAAATGAAATGTGCCACTTTATCTGTGTTACCGATTGAGAGGGAACACAACCACCTATTAAGAAGCCAAGGTCTGGATGTGAAGAATAAGGTGTAGAAAAAAAGAAGTGGCTAAGAAAGCTTGTCTTATTTATTCTTTCGAGGGGTATTGCTACACAAACTACTAGGAGAAAGAAAATGAAATAAATAATAATAATAATAACTCAAAAATAAAAATAAAAAATCCTCTTGTTGCTATTCTGCCCCTAGCTGTTGTCTGGCCATTTAATACCAACCATTTGATCCAATTGAACTTGCCAATTGATGCCGAGGGAGCACTCCAATGCCTCTTCCTTTTCTTTTTTGTCCATGAATCCATGGGAGAGATTTTTCCCCGAACACAATGACTTCACGGCCTCTTTCTTTCCTTTTTAGCATTTCTGTCGGACCCCTCTTGATCTGTTGCATTTCAACACTTCCCTTCAAACTAGATGATGTATATTTATCATTCCAAGTTTACTTAAAATAATTTTGAATGAGGGTATCTGTTAGACCTAAACAGGTCCAACCTGGACCGGTTCTGGTCTTTCCTGCCGGCCCAAGGGATGGGGGGGCCGCGCGCCCGGGGGGGGGGGGGGGGGGGGGGGGCAGCTTTATTGGGGCCTAGGGATTGAATTAAACATGGGTTAGGAGGGGGCTGTTTAGAGATTATGTAATTTTCCTTTTGCTTTAATTAGTGTAGCATGTTAGGGTTTGGGGGCATCTTGAATTTGAAATTAGATTTGGGATCTAGGGTTGGTTAGGAGGAAAAAATTGAATGAGGGGCTGTTTAGAGATTATGTAATTTTCCTTTTGCTTTAATTAGTCTAGCAATTTAGGGTTTGGGGGCATCTTGAATTTGAAATTAGATTTGGGATCTAGGATTGGTTCTTTTGGGCTTTAGGCTTGGCTAGAGATTTAGAGAGTTGTTTCTTCCTCTCGAATTGAAGAAACTTATATCGTTTGCTATTTTCCTACATCTACTAGTGGAATTTCTTCGTTTATATCAGTTTTCTTTTGTTTTTCCTAAGAAACCTGTTGTACCATTTCTATTTTACTGATAAATAATAGTTTTACTCACTGTTTTCACCAATTGTGGTTAGTTTTGCTTGCGAACTCAAGTATTTCCCTTAGGGTTACTTGCAAACTCAAGTACTTCCTATCAGTATCCTTGATGTGTTTGTTTACTTTCAGCACTCTGAAATTTATGACATGCATAATTACTTTTTTGTTTCTGCACTTTAGTTTATTAAATTGCATACACATAAATTATATTCATACATGCATATATACATTTATGTGGTCGTTTATTTTATTAAAAAAAGAAGAGCAAAGTAGGATGTATCTAGGTTGGCTTGTAAAATAAACTGAAATGAATGTACTTAGTTGCAATGTATATGCAAGGGTCAAGTGTAAATGAAAACTGTCTAGAATATAATTAGATCGAGCTGTAAAAGACTAGATAGGATTGCTTATACATGCGTATAGGACTCCAAAAGATAATCCCTTCTCTAGAGGGTGTTCGCTTTTGAAATTCTATAGTGTAAACTTGGAGCCAGAAAATAATAAAATCGTATTTAGACCTATTTCATTCATAGGTATAGAAACCCAAGCATGTTGTGATGAAGCTTAATCACCTTACTTTCTTGCAGATCCCGAATTGTATTTATATTTTCAAATAAATGAAAGATTTTATTTATTTTGCTTCATGCATCATACATGGTGTTAGTTACATTCACATATTGTATATTCTTGATTAAACTCTTTGAATTTAAAGAAAATATCATTGATTCCTTATGATAGAGTCATCATTTCCTGCATTTACAAGGCGATTGATTGTGTCTAGGATATTAGCTGGCAGCACACTCTAGGCAAGCATAAGCCCAGATCATACACCCATCAGTGTGTATTCTCTAGTTTTTAGTAAATTCAAAATCTATAATTTCTCCCAAGACAGTAAATCAATCTTTAATCTTCTAAACTCAAATTTTTTACTCAAATCTTCATACATTTAAAATATAATCCTCAGTAAAGATGAACAAAAGAGTTTAATTCCTTTGGATTAAAGCCTAATAACTTCATTATGCATCAAACTAAGAAGATAATAAAATAGTATTTCTAATCGAGGATATTATTAAGCCAAAACTTAAGATGTAATTAACCACGAGGACTTGCGCCAGTGGAAAACCGATACTCACATCAAATAAATCTTATTTGAGCCGATGTATCGAGTGGGAGAAATCTTATGATTATCAGGTCATATTATCATTATCTATCGAAATGTGTTGGCAAAAGCCACTATTCTCCATAGATAATCATATGTATGATCATATCTGCTCTTCCATTAGATTGCTTGCATAGAGTGTAAAGGTCTAAGACCGTTTCGTCCTACAGAGAAGTGTGATCATACTCTTTGCATTCTAACCCCGCAAGCAGCATCCTTTCGGAGAAAGTGTTTTCTTCTTCTTCTTTTTTTTATATAGCTCAATGATCTCCACAAGTGATTTTTTTTTTCAAGGCATTCATTTATTTTCTCTCAGCATCCTCAAATTCTTATTCCCTAGTGCCACAAATAGGGTTTGTGAAATTTTAATAGAGTTAAAGCTAATGTTTGCAGGGAAGGCTTTATGTATAGTAGAAAATCTTCGAAAGAATGTGTATTAAGTTATAGGATAAGAAGGAGAATGTGTAATAATGAGATGATTATTGTTGCCAAGTGACAGTTCCAAGTCTTAAGTTTGCTAGAGATTTTTATAGGCTTTATCCTCCTTTTATAAACTTGAACGAATTTGGTGATGATAATTTGTGTTGCTGAGATGTCAATAGGGAACATGGCAATTTCATTAAACTTATCTTCGAGTTGTTTATTCTTCCTCTGAAGATAAGTTCGAGTGAAAATTTTAATTTTCATCAAATGTGGTATATTTTTAAATGAATCATTTTTTTTTGTGGTTAAATGATAACATTTATAACCGTTTTGAATTAATGAGCATCCCAGAAAGACACACTTGAGTATTGTAGGATCAAACTTATCTCGATGCTGTCTGTGGAAGTGAACATAAGCAACACATCCAAAAATTTGAGGAAGCTTTGAGAGAAATGGTAAGTAATAAAGAATTCATCAAGATAATTTAATGAATATTCCAATCATTTTGAGGATTACAGAATTGTGAATGATTCCTTTCTCATAGCCATTTCTTGTTGTTGCTTCGACTTCGCGTGGAGTGGAGTTTTGAAAGAGCTATAAAAGGAAGTTTCTTCGCCTCCTTCGACGATGTTGTTCCTGTCCGATCTGAAGTCACAACGGGAACTTCAGCGGTAACAATCTTCCTCTCCTTTTGCCTTCTTCGGCTAAAACCCGTAAATCCGCCGAACTAACGGATTTACTAAATGCAGGATTTAAGGCAAAATGGAGAAGGAACGGGATTTAAAGTTGCATTTTTTCTGTTTGGCCGGATTTAGCCTAACTCCTGCTCAAATCCAGCATTCAAACAGTCCCTAGAGAGAACTTTTTAAATCCGTTAAAGTATGTAAATGATGAGATTTAATGAACAATAAAACTAAAATGGGATTTATAAAAACACTAGGATTTAAAATCCCAAAATATATGTTTGTACATATTTAATCTAAAATACGATACCAAACAGCCCTAACAATCATCGGAAACCACCTTCACATCCAATGTCTCTCACGAATTCATCATCGTCTACAGAAATGGCAAGCGGTGAATAAAAACTTGCAATTCAATTAGAAAAGCACAAGAAAAGCATCTAACTTTCACAACCTTACCCATTAAAAAAAAAAAATTCTCAAATAATAGCCTCTCGAAGAAAGCAAAAATAAGGAATTCAAATCGGATAAAAGAAATTTTACGTTACCTCCCTGACGAGTGATCGTTGGATGATACAGACATCTTATCGTCTTCAGGATGAATTTTTTTTCTTCTTTTTTTTAGTTCAAGAAAGATCTCGGAAGGAAGTGATGCAAATGCCCAGAAAAGAAGAACAAATTGAGTTGAGAGAGACGGACAAGGCGAGGAAACGAGAGGAGGGCCGATGAGGAGATTCGCGGAATCTACTCGGCGAATCTTCCCGGTTTCCACTGAAATAATTTTCATAGCGAAGGGACTATTACTTGTATTTTTTTATTTATGAAAAAAATATATATGTGAAAATGATGAAATTTATAGTTTTAAATTTATTTAAAATTAATTTTAATATAAAAATCAATTAATTATTTGTATATAACTATATGTTACGATTATCTAAAAATATTCAAAAAATTTAAAATCCATATTTATTAATTTTGTGCGGATATTCTACATTAATTTTTTAATTTATCTTATCAAAATACATTGTAAATAAAATTTTAATTGAATAAATCTAAAGGTTGTTGGATTTAATAAGAAAGCTTAGGAAGCATGACTCAAGTTGAAAATGCAAATCATATTATGTAAGAGTTAGATCACAACTATATTTAAGAGGAAGGGTTGATAATTATAATGTTATTTGGTTTTTTGAAAAATAAATGTAGATTAAAAGAAATACTTTATAAAAAAATTGATATAACTTACAATAAAATAAATATAATGTAAAGCTCAGTGATGTTTGTGCCTCGTGGTTGATGATAACACTGGTGGGGCCGGTAATGTTTGGGGAAGTAGCGGCTATGGTGAATGTGAGGGGAGGGTGTTGCATGAGATGTTATAGTTGAGGCGACAATGACAAATTTAATGATTTTCAAATACATCAAAATTGAATTAGACCTTAAATCTCAAATGCTTCAAAATTTTATAGTGCACTTCTTTTATTTGAAATCAAACACCAGTATTTTTAAAACATATAACATTTGTAATATTTTACACTCATTTTACTTCATACCAAAATATCCCCTAAATCTAAATGATTTAGCCAATATTTATTTCATTCAACTCAAATTTAGTTTTATTTTTATATGTATGAGAGAGAGAGAATGAGAGAGGAACAATTCTTTTTTAATACGAAAGATTTAAGATATAATGCAATAAAAAACTCCACCTTTCTACAAAATTAGTTCTTTTTATTTCTATTGTGTTTGTTTGGATAAGTTTTTTTGCTGCTTTGTTTTTCAGACTCATCTAGCTACTATTTTATTTCTATTTTTTACTATTTTTCATAAATGTTTCTAGCGATAAATTGATTTCTACAACCATAGCAGCTAAGTTATTTTCCCTATAATAATTTCTCAACAAACTTTATAAAATGGTAAAGCCATCCCGAAAAGACTCATAATTGAGCAAATTAATTGTTTATTAATGGTGTTCAAATAGCTTAACAAAGAGTAAGCAATTTTTACTTAAGGTTTTGTTTGCTTCAAATTAGTCAAATTTGAATATTTTTTGTTAAATTGAGGCCTCAATGTAAAACATGGATTTGATCATGGTGGGCTTAAAATCTTCTTTGGTTCTTAATCACTTTCATCAAATCAGTTAGGCTTCATGACCAGGCCTCAATTACGTCACCTATGACCTGGATGCCACTCATTAAGAATATTTTGTTGGAGCTCTAGGCTGTTTGGTCTCTAGCCTCTCATGAGTCAATTTTTCATAAATAAAAAATTATATTAACACAGATTTAAAAAATATTATTTTTTAAAGATTATTCAAATATAAAATTTTTATATGCAATATTAATTTCAAAATAATTTTAATACTTTTTTAATTCATTGTAATTCAATTTGTTTAAGGATAGATTGATATAAGTTTTTTTATTAGTTTATTGTATGAAATATGAAATTTATTTTGTTTTAAATCACTAAAATTGTGTCATGCTTAGCTCACTAAGAGATTGAACTAAAAAAATACGTAATTTTTTGCTTTTTTTAATAAAATTAGTTAGTTTTTTAATTCTTTCAATAGTTGACAAAAATAGTCTCAGTTCATTCGTATTCTGCTTGTCGGCATCCTTATGGATCTATAAGCTAATTTTATAATATATTATAGTTAGTCAAGGCTGGATGGAGATAGTGGGAGGTAAGCCAAATTTTCATTGGTGCAATTCAAATATTTTTGTTACTTTTGAATGGTTTAGAGGTTTTTTTTTTTTTGGGGAAAGTAGAGGTTGTTTGTTTGGTGTGGTTATAAGTGTATTGTATTTTTTTTTTTTATGTTCAAAACTTAGGTTTTGTTTGGGGCGGCGTTCTTATTGCTTCTTAAAGCAGCTTTTTAGTATAAAAATTAATTTTTTCCTACTAGAAATCTGCTTTAAAAAGCAGTAAGAAAGCCCCAAACGAAGCCTTAACCTTTTGGAATGTTTGTGTGAGAGAAAAGCAAATTCAAGATATTTTTTGAGAAATTTTTGAATGCATCATCAGTTTCTTTTTTAAATAAATTGAAATACGTTTGATTTGAACGAATTCTAAATACATGATACCACACGGCCTCATCTCAGGACCTCCTAGCATCCCATTCACATTAACGTCATAACAACTCAGCCTAAACTCTTAATTATCAAGATATTGTCTGCTTTGACCTAGAGGTCTCTCAATTTTATCATGTTGGCGTAACTTCCTAGGAGGCCGTCCATCCCAAGATTTATCCGGTATGAGCATACTTAACTGCGGTGTTTCTTAATGAAATTCTAACAATTACACTAAAAGACACATTGATGTTTAAGAGTTTAGCTTCTTTTATTTAAGGAATTTCACACTAACGGTAACGGCCATATGACTTCCCGGCATCCCAAGCGACAACCGTTTGGCATCTCGTATGATAACCTCCCATTATCCCGCCTCATACCACCTCGCCGCTTAGGCCACCTCCCTGTGCTAGCGACCCCGCCTCCATCCCCTCTAGCATCAATGCTAATTGTACCATCTCTTCTACTCCTTCATGTATACTAAATGCTTTAAAAATTTATATTATTAAACAACTTAAACATTAAAAAATAAGTTCATTTTATTTTCAACCAAACATTAAGGAAATCATTTCATTCATTTGTGCTAAAAACAATCAAATAATTCTAAATATTAGAAAGTTTCCATTATATTTGAAATAGATCCGAGTTCTAAGTAGGAAATAGTTACAATCAAACAACCACTTCTCGCAGTTTCCTCCCTTCTTCTGACTTCTTATTAATGAAATTCAATAAGGCATATTTGTCATATGAAGAAAGGTACAGATTATGACTTAGTAAGTGCTTCTGCCTAACTATTGGGTCCATTCTAACATAAAGTTTGCATGCGTATACTTACTGAATTTTCTACTGTTTATTGGTAAGAGAGCACTAAAATCATTCTCTGATATCTTCAAAGCCTTTTTTAAGAATCAAGAGCACAATTGAATTTGGCTTCCTTGCTTCTGTGTGGGGTAGTTATCCAAAACGAAGAAGAGCATAGCTCACAAAGTATACTTAGAAGAGGATTGGATGCTTAAGGATTCGTTTGGGACGGCTTTCTTACTGTTTCTTGAAGCAGCTTTATAGTAAAAAAATAATAATTTTTATACTAAAAAACTGTTTTAAGAAACAGTAAGATAGTCGTCCCAAACAAAACCTAAATAATTTGTAAACTAACTTGAATGATATATAAAATTTTAATGTCTTAAGCACTTTGATAGGTTTGGAAGGTTAAAGAAACAAGGGTGACATTGCCAAACAAAGTGGTCTGAGAATCTAGAAAGTGATTAGCAAAGTAATGATTCCCTAATGAATCTGATTTTAAAGTCCAAAAAGTGATTAATCAACTGCATTAGAAGCCTAACAACCTCAAGAATAGTGGCAGTTCAATAAAGAAACTCCTTTTTAAAAAATTTCCAATATTTTAATGTAAGTAAAATCCTAAAGATCTTTTATTCCCATTGAAAGAAGCTAAATCAAAGAAGCTTTCTAGTTTCTTCTCTATAAATACCTCAATCATTCCATTGCTCTCCACACATCAGCAACTATATAGCAAGCAATTTCACTCAAACGCCAATCTATTGACTTATGGCTCTTTCTTTGAAAGTCGTCTCTCTCCTTTGCATGTCTCTTCTTCAATTCCAATCTCCGGCGATCGCCGCGACATCATTCATCAAATCTAGAGCTGCTTATTATCCTAATTCTGAACAAAATGGCACTGCAGGTTTGTTACTTTGCAACATCAAGCTTAGTTTGATAGATCTCGATGTGATTTTTTTAAATTATTGAAAACTTTCTATGATTTGTATTGTTTTTTATCAGACTGACTCGTTCCTTATGAATGATTCCCTCTTTTTTTAAATGGCTCCATCTTCGTAAATATAACTATAAATATATTAAATTTCAATCATTCATAAATTTAGAAGAATTAATCATCAAATCATGTATATGAAATCTCTATCTTATGTGATCTTAATGTGATTTCTCCATTGTTCATTGAATTGGTGATGATATTTGCAGATGGCGCATGTGGGTATCGTTTGTATGGAGCGACTCTCAATGGTGGTGATGTTTCAGCTGCTTCTGATCTCTATCGCAATGGTGTTGGTTGTGGTGCATGTTACCAGGTAATTGGATATATTAGCTTGCATTTAAAAAAAAAAATTAATGTTACATGCAGTGAATATCAAATTAACATTAAAATCTTACAACATTATAACATATGCCATGCATTCTATTTTGAGAACATATTAGTTTCTAAGGTTTTGTATGTTTGCTTAATTTGTTAGGTGAGGTGCACGAACATCAACTATTGCTCAGATAATGGTGTGACCATTGTGATAACGGACTTGGGTTCGAGCGGTGGCACCGATTTCATATTAAGCCAACATGCTTTTGCAAGGATGGGGCAGACCGTCGACACCGGCAAATCTCTGCTTGATCTTGGTTGGGTTGATATTGAGTATGCCAGGTTAGTTTAAATAGTTTTAGATTTCAAGTATATGGGTAAAATTTTAGAGCAAATATTAAACAATACATATTGACATAATTACTCAGAGAGATTTGCTTAAAATAGTCTCTTCAAGCAACATTAAACATAAATAAACGAACAACGAGAATTCATAAAGATGGGCAAAAAAAGTTTGAATTGGGCTACTGATGTTGATTATGATGAGGATGATAGATAAATTGTGCTCATTCTCTTATTCAGCAAGTAATTTTCCATAATAATGAGGAGACTAAAAACAAAGTTTAAACTATATAAAGATAAAGAAACAAATGTCTACTTGCAATCGGATAACATTGGTAAATCACTTATATGCTATAAAATTTGTGCATTTTGTAGAGTTTCTTGCAGCTACCCAAATAAGAACATAACCATCAAGATTGATGAGAGTAGTATCTACCCCGATTACTTGGCCTTTGTCATAGAATATCAACAAGGAATCAAGGACATCATAGCAGTTCAGTTATGCGAGGTAGAATTCTCTCATTTTTTCATATTTTTTAAGGAACTCATGATCATTATGATTAAGATTGTATGAAATATTTTCTAAAAAAGTTAATTAAATTTTGTGATTGATGCAGACTGTGAGTTTAACATGTAAGCTATTAGATCGAAGCCGTGGCACAGTATGGGCTGTTGTCTCTCCTCCTAGTGGCCCTCTATCTGTAAGGATGCTTTTGAGCAGTAACGATGACAATGATGATGAGAGTTGGGCGACGCCTATCAATGATATTCCAGTGAATTGGACACCTGGAACTAGCTATGATTCTGGGATGCAAATAAATTAAAAGTTGGTTGAGATGTTTTCTGAATGTTGATCGATTGTATCAACATAGATTTTATCTACTAATAATTGCTTGATTTATATTATTTGTTAGTTGATGTTTGTGTTGCTGAAAAGTTTTGTTATTTGTTTTCTGAGAAGTTAGATGTTTAATTGGAAGTTTGAAATAATATTTTAGTTCAGCATCAAATTCTATTGACTATATTTGTGATGTATTTTGTTGTTTTATATTATGTTGTGACAAGTTGCACTGTAGAGAGTAAGAAGTATGATGGTTTGGAAAAATCAGTTTAATATATATGTAAATTTTATAGCTTTTTAAGAGCCCTCGCAATTGGAAAAAATAAATGAGACAATCATAAATTGGTTGGATGATCTAGGCTTTGTTTGGGATGGTTTTCTCATTGCTTCCTGAAGCAGTTTTTTAGTACAAAAATTAAAAATTTTGTACTAGAAAACTATTTTAAGTAGTAAGAAAGCCGTCCCAAACGAAGCCCAAGAGGCCAAGATAGATATTACTTTGAACTTTAGATAAAACTATTTTATTATCATAATTGATCATTGTTTCATAAATCATAATGGGAGCATGTTTATGATGATGTGATGATGTTTTGAAATGTTTGGTTAGCTAGGCAAATAGTTGGATGGCTTGAGCTCGTGTTGACAAGCCCTACGATTATGAGATGTCGAAATTACGACCATTATGACATGAGTTAGCTTACCGTAGGAAGAGCAACTTTGGTGTAGGCTAGGTCGGGCTGACCTAACCAATGCAAATTAATTGAACCATCATATGAGCTCATATGATACATAGTGAAAGTTGAAATGGACACTTATGCCATTAGCTGACCCACCACATAGATCTTATAATGGTGGAGGTCCATTTGATCTTGCTCTTAGACCATTGCGACAGTTACTCTACCCATTATAAAAAAAGCTATGGTTTTAGAGGTTGACAACAACATGATCCATTCCCACCATAAAAATGCTAATATATGTACATAACATGATGAGATAATAACATAAAGTTCTTTATGTTACATCGCATTATCATATGCCATAATGATTACATGGTTCTATGATTGGCAACTAGAGGTGCAAATGAGCTCAATTTGAGCGAGCTTGTTGTATTTTTGTGTTCTGCTCATGTTTGAAATTGTTTGTGAATATTAACTTCAGAAAATAATCCAAAGACTTTTTGTGTGTGGACAATTCAACCCCATAGCATCCAGAGCTTTTTACATGGTTCTATGATTGGTAACTAGAGGTTTTTTTGCAGACCGAGGAACACCGGCAATAACGACCAACGGTATTTGCGCCGGAATCTTCTGGCGGTTTATCTGCGGTTTTTGCTCCAGTAATTTCCGATAGTCTTAGCCGCCAGAAAAAATATTGCCATAAATTTATCGCCAGTTTCCATTTCCTATGCGGTTTATTCCGGCAGTTTTTAAACCGCTGGAAAATTGAGGTTAATAGCCGGAAATCACCGCCGGTATTGGACGATTTTCCTGTAGTGATCACGCTGCTCTAATTTAGTCCATCGATTATACAAAATTAACAAAACTGATACAAAATGATCTCTCATGTTGGAATTGTGATATAAAATTGATCTAAATTTAGTCTCTCGATTATATAAAATTGATCCTAGTTTAGTCATAAGAGGACCATTTTGGATCAATTTTATGTAATCGATACACTAAATTAGAGCAGTGTTGTACTTTGAGATTAAATTGACCACACACGAATAATTATAAAAAAAAAAAAAATGCTCAATATTATCTCTGAACGATCGAAATGAAGACAAACTTCTTATTAGTCGAAACAAGTTGTTCAAGAACAAGGGTCTGTTTTAACAAACTATGATATGAGCTTATGAGGGGTTCATCAACAGAATTGGTGACATGTGAGGAGAAATGGACTTTACGACGACAGTTTACTAGCAAAGGCAACTACTTAACCGATTAAATGTGAGGATAAAAGAAGGCTCGATGCGGATAATATCTTATGATAGATGATGTGCAAATAGTAGGGGTGTCATTTTTTGACACGACTCAAAATTCGACTTGGACCCAACATGTAAAAATGCAGGTTCTAGTCGACTCGGTTAGCAATGGGATGGGTTCGGATTTTGACCCGTTTGAAAAACGGGTCGGGTTCGGGTTGACCCAGAAACCCGAAATCAACCAAAGTTGACCCGAGTCTGGATCCGTTAGCCCAACCTAGCCGCCCTAGCCTACTTACCGCTTCTGAAATTTGGGCTCAACCGCTCAGTGCCGCAATTCAGCAGTCTGTAGTCACACGTCATGGCGTCACACTAGCACACACCCACCTCTGCAGTCCGCACGCGCCCAAGTCCTAACGGGCCGTCGGACCCAACCCGCAACGCCCATCGTGCTAGCACGCGCCCACCTCGACCTGGCCACCTTCAGGTCCACATGGAGTCGCGGGCCGCATCCATGTGGCACGAGGGCACACCCGCACGTCATTTCCGAATTTGATTCTAACCGGCCCCATTGATCAAAATTGACACCCCTAACAAAAAGCTTAATGAGGAAGGCATATTGTGACCAATATATATGAAGAAAGGTTCTAATATAGTAATCCTTATATCGTAATAAGGTTGGAATTAGTTTACATTAAATTTATTTGCAATATATTTTTATAAATAATCAGTATATACAAGAGATTTCATGTATATTTAAAAAAAGAAGTAAATATCTGAAATATTTTTACTACAGGGGATTTACATATATATTAATTTATATCATGTTATTTACATATCTAATATTCAAAATTTTAATATTTCATATCTATCACATATAAATAATTTTAATATCAAATATGACATTTTTATATTTCATTTTTTTCACTCATAATATCCTATAAATTTTAAAATTTTATTCATTACACCTATTTTTAATTTATAGGTTGTAGACATGAAATATAAAGATTTTAAAAATAGATATTAAATAATAAATAGTAAGATTTAAAGCGGGGTGTATGTAAATATCTCTTTTACTATTTATACTAATAGACAAATAAATCAAATTTCTGATGCAGTTTAGGTAGCCCTCTACATCTCCGCGAAGAGCAGCTCCACCGTCGTCGGCGCGACATTCAAGACGGTTCCCGCGCCGTCCTCACTCCTCAGTCCCACCACCTCTCACTCGTTATAGTATTGAGTATTGACGTTTACTGTTCCTTCTCGGTCTCCGGCCATGGTGGCCACCGTCCCCTGGCATCAACCACACTTCCTCCCAACTAAACCCTATCTTTCACATCACCGCTCCATTAACTCCCCCATACTTCGACCTTCACCGTCCACGGTTCGAGCTTTCAGCCGCAGTGATTTCGAAGGCTTTGCGCGACGATTGTCCTCCGGAGAGGCTCTGCGTGACGCGTGGCGAAGCGCGAATGAAGGCATCGAACAACTCACGTTCGAAGTGCGGTTAGCGGCCGAGCGCTTGGATCGCCGTTACGCCGTCTCTAATCGCATCGGATCGGCCGCTCGCGCCGCTGTGGATAGGGCAAGAGAAATCGATCATGAGTTGGGTATAGGACGCCGGTGGCGCTCCTTTTCCATGGATTTCTCCAGGAACTTGCCTAGGGTTTGAATTCTTACATCCACCTTTCCAGCTGCTCAGTTGTGAATCTGGCTTGATATTGAACTAAATTTCATTTTATTCTCTGGCTAATTTTTGCAGTATAGAAAGGAGTTGAGCGGGTTTCTTGGAACGCCAATTGGTAGAGGATCTATGGTTTGCTCTATTTTCTTGTTTCTTTACTGTTTTATAATTTTTGTATTTCTGCTGTATAAGGATGAGAGTAAATGTATGTGCACGAACCACTAATTTTATCTAACTGGAAGCCGGCTCCGAAGTTTGGATTGAGTATTGTTAGAAAAACTAGAATTATAATACTTTTTTATTGAATTGTATAATATGTTGATACAAGCATGTCAATGCATAGTAGAGTAATAAAGGAAAATGTAGAAAATAAAAATATCCTTAATCATAATAATGATGTATTATAATAATAATCTTTCTACTATAAGGTAATAAATAATTCCTATAACTCTAAGAAGTATCATGTTCTCTATTTCACTGTTTGCCAGATAGTTCCAAGTGGCATAAGTGCGTGCTATCTTGGCCTTTTTGCCACTTGGATTTTACTTATTTTCTTATACTCATGCATTCAGTATACATACTTAGCCCTTTCCTCCTTGTATTCTCTAAAATTTTCTAACTTACATCTCTTCTGGATGAGGATGAGAATGAATGTTTTCCCCAAGAATCACTAACTTTAACTCAACTGAAACCTTTGAACTATGGTTTTAGTATTGGGACTTATTTTTTTTGCTTTGTTTTACTCATATTTTTGATGGAGATATGATATAATGCATTCAATCATGTTTTTAATTCTTGAATTAGTTACATGTAATATATATGTAAGTATGTTTGTAATTGTTAGATGATCTATGTTATAAGGGTGATGAAAATGATAAAAAAAATTGCTACGTTCTAAAACATTCGGGGAATTATAAAGCTTTTTATGGCCCAATTTTACACGAAGATTCAACACACACAAATAACAAAGAAGAATGCAAGAGAGTAAGAGACACAAATGTTTTTAGGAGACAAGCCCAGAAAGTGAACAAATCATAGGTTGTAGCCCAATTGAAATGATTGGCTATGTACTTGAAGTTACAAAAAATTGCTTTTTCCCACAATTGGAAAAGATAGAATTACATAGTTGGGCACACTTGCTTTGTCTCTTGTAGTTGTAATAGATATTATGTGAGAAGTGGTGGAGGGATAGTGGTGACAATTGGATGATTTCGGTCGGATAATGGTTGTTGGACTACTATTGTCGGAAGTTGCCTATCGGGTGATGGTGATTGGATGTCAACAGTTGGATGATGGCAATCCAACAATGACATTGAGACTATGACAGTCCAATGATGCAAAAGAGACCATAATAGCAGGAAAGCAATGGTTAGAATACAATGGTAGTTGTATAACAACAGTGATCGTCGGTGTTGAATGTCAGGTCGATGTCAAGAGCTATTTAGATCTCCATCGTCTCTTCGATGTCAATTTTTGGCTCTTTTTATGAGGAGAATTTGGGGTATATTTATAGTAATTCCTATTTTGGGAGTGCATTGGTTTGATAAATTTAATCAAATTTTTCACAGCACTATTGGACGGGTAATATTAAATCATTTTATCACACTAACCTCAAAATTGCATGGTATTGGGCATGTTGGATTCGTTTCTTTGAGTTGCTCAATTTGAATATAATAATGCAAGATTTTGAGATCATTTTGTCCTTAAAGTTTTCAAATATGCTTTAATTGCTTGATTTGGGTTCATTCCTACTCAAATCAGATAACTTAAATATTCAAATATGCTGTAATTGCTTGATTTGGGTTCATTCATACTCAAATCTGATAACTTTTTATGTTGTTGGATTCATCATGTGAACAAATGTTCACTTTCAACTATAAGTTTGCTAAAATCAGAGTTTTTATGATTTTGCAATTAATTTTTTTAAATATAAGATAATGCATTGGGATTCATGCCGATAAAATGAATATATTTGAGATCTATCAAATTTAATGCTTTATTCTTGAGTAAGAAATAAAAATAAATGAAGTTATATGAAGTGGGAATATGTATTGCATTCTAATAGATCTGAAATAGCTTATGATGATAATTTTGGAGTTGATAACGAGGAAAATTAGGATAGAAGCAATTGGAGGAAACAACATCGAGGAAGGGGCATGACATTGGATTTAAGGTAGATAGTATGCAAAACCATCATTAAAGATTTTGGTGATTGCTGCACAGGCATAGGTGATGAGACCAAAAGCATATAGTGGAAGCAGGTGCATAAGTTGTCTTAAGGATAGGGTATATGCTGATGGAGGGAAATTTGAGAATATGATTTTTTCCTATTAAATGATAGCCTGATAGGAGCTCTTACCTATTGAATAAATTAGTTAAATGAGTAAATTGATAGGAAGTACTTGTAGATCGCAAGTATTTCCTATCAATCTTCTAAAAACAACGAGAATTCTTCACAAAAAATCCGCACAAAATCACAAAAACAGTAGAAAATTTGTATAACTTGATGACAACGAAACGAAAAATAGCAAGATACACTCGATCCTCTATTTGAGAGGAGGATCGATCTCTTCCAAATCTCTAGACGCCGCTAGAGCCCAAAGGAAACCTAAATCTAAGAGATCTCAATTTTCAGCCAAATTCAAGATGCCCTAACCCTAGGAAAACAAAGTATTTAATGCATACAAATCAAGAGGAAATCCCTAAACAGTCCCTACATTCAAAGTTTCCTCTCAAAACCCAAAAAAAATTCTTCCTACAAGGCTCCGCTTAGGCATGCGGACCGGCTAGACCGGTCCAGTGGACCGGTCTAACATAGATTGATATGAATTCCTATTTAAATATTGTTGATTCTAAATTTAATGTCATGTAGTAATTTCATATTAAATGACTAGTTAATGGTTAAACAAATAGATTTTGGTTTAAACTTAAATTCATTGTCCCGTATATGAAAACCTAAGATATACCAAGTCTTTATGTGGGAAGGCATTATGAATCCTAAGAAAAGTTTCTCTCTCCAATTTTAATATGTCCTATAATTTATTGTGAATTTATTACTAAGTCATTCTCTTGCAAAGAGTTTATGTCGTTCAAGATTATGCTCGTAGAAGATAATTGGTGGTGGTAAAGTAGTTGATGGAGTCTACTACTTGATGCTAGGTGTTCTTTATACCTCCTTTACGCTATCACCCCTTTTTCATTGCATTGTTTACTGAAGCATTCCATTCTCAACTATCTTTCGGATTGTCTGTGTTTCTTCATATGTGCTCAAATTTATTTATCAGATTTGTGACTTGGGTAAACACCAGTGTGTGTCATTTTTATCTTCTACCACTAGTCTTCGTTTAAGGTCCTAGTCATGTCATTACTCATTTGGTCTGCTATCTTGTCACATTCATTGATGATATTTCACGAGTTGGGTTTATTAATCCCAATATCATTTAGCAGTCCTTCATGTTTGTCAAAAAGTTTCATCAAGAAATAAATGTTCTATTTTTTTCACCCTAATCAAATTCTTACTCTCGGATAATAATTTAGAATTCATGTTTTTATAGTTTCACACCTTCTACTATGTGTATTATTTATTGAACTTCTTATCCTTATACATTAGAATGATGTTGCTAAAGGTAAAAACCGCCAAATCCTTGACGTTGCTAGGGCTTTAATGTTTCATTTGAATTCTACTTGCGCAGCCAAGGGCCTCGACCACATGCTATCTCAACAATTATATCCCTTCTCTTCTCAATCACTTCTCACCCCTCTACACTCTTTATACCAGTCAAGTTGTCTTTTGCTTTATAATGTGTATTTTTGTTGTACCCATTTTGCTCATAAGTTTTGCTCGCAACTCGCAGGACAGAATCTCTCCCCATATTATTGATATTTCTTACTTGGGTTGTCTTATACATAGAAAGGTTATCACTGTTATGATCCCCTTAAAATGATGTCTATATACTTCTGTCAATGTAAACTTTTATGAGACCACAATTTTCCTTATTTTTGACCTTCCGCCCTGAGCCATCCTCACCAAGGGCTCCTTTTCCTTATAAAAACTCATCAAGCTACATCTATACTTCTACAAACATACTCTCGATGATTGCAGCCTCCATCTACGGTAACACCCCCAATCATGTTGTTAGATTCAATTAAGCATCCACGAAGTAATGAGCCATATGACCTACATTTACCAATTGTCCTTCAGAAAGGTAAAATGCAATGTACTTCTTATCTCATTTTCTCTTATATATTATTTAATCATTTATCAAATTTGTTTCTTGCCTTTGCATTTTATATGTATATATTTCAAGAATATATCAATATGAGTTATAATATCCTTTATGGATGCTGAAATGGAAGTTCTTCTAGGTCATTATACCTGGATTTAAGTTGTCGTCCCTTTCCTTGAGGTTAAATCAATTGTTCGTCATTGGGTGTTAAATGCCAAGTTTTAGTTTTTAATGACTTTATAATGCTACAAAGCTCAATTAGTTGCTAAAGGATTCACCTTGGTCTATAAGATAGACTGTTTTGACACCTCCCCAGTTGCAGTGCTTGACTCCCTCAAAATTCTTTTATTTGTGACCATCAATCAAGGTTGAACTGTTATAAATGGATGTGAGCAATGTTTTCTTTTATGGTGACTTGCAAGAGGAAGCTTATATGGTGCCTAGCAACCTCTAGTGAAGTTGTTTGGAAGGGGAACCACATATGTTTACTTAGGAAGGCTATCTATGGACTTCAACAAAGTTTACAAGCTTGGTTTGACAAACTTTGTAAAATCTTGGTTGAGATTGGCTGCACAATAGCCTTAGAAATCATTCTATCTTTGTTAAGCGTGCACCTTTAGACTTAGTCATACTAGTTGTTTCTATTGGCAAGATCTTGCTCATTGGAAGTGATCATATTTACATATTTGAGATAAAATTGTACTTTCAATTGTGCTTTATCAATAAAGATTCGTGATAGACCCAAATATTTTTTAGGGAAATTGAATTTAATTATAGTTAAAATGAAGTGTCACCTCCTTTTTCTTATTTATTTAACATGGAAGGCATAATATATATATATGTGCTCAAGCTTGAGGGAGAGTGTTGGCGTATTAGGTAGGTCCCTTTATTGAAAAATGATTATAGTAGGAAGATGTGATTATGTATCATCATAATTAAGTAGGGATATTATTCTCTTTTATTTTGATTATCATTTGCCCTCCTAAAAGCCGTATATAAGCTTAACAATTTTTTTTTTATCAATGACGTAGAAATCTTGGTTCCTCTTTATGTAGGATGAAAATGAATCTTCTGAGATGCATTTTTAAGAATTAAAATTTGAAATTTTGTGAATTCTGATCTTGGGTTGTAGGTAAAGGATCTGCCAAAGATTAAAGGCTTGCTCAAGAGGATAATTGTAGAGGTGACATCGATGATTTTAATTGAAGGAGTGGCCTTTGAAGTTGCCTTTAGTGACAAAGAATGACTGCGAGATTGAATTATGAGAATGTAGAAGGCAACGACAACTATAGTGGTTGCATTTTTTGTGTTGGTGGAGATGGTTAGGATGCAAACAAGTGAAAGTTGCAGGTCCATGTGTGGGTTGGTCATGAACTGTTGTGTAATTATGGGTTAGAGAATTTTGAGAGGTAGCTTTGATTCTCATCGAATAAAAGGATTCACAACTATTGAATAAAGTTGTTGAATGTTGAGTAAAGTTTCGTTTGGGTCGGCTTTCTTCTTGCTTCTTAAAATAACTTTTTAGTACAAAAATTAAAATTTTTGTACTAAAAAGCTGCTTTAAGAAGCAAGAAAAAAGTCATCCCAAATGAAGCCTAAATGTCTTTCTCTTTAGATGTTGATAGGATTTATAGGATTTTGTGCTTAATATTGCATGTAACCTTCACCAATTCAATACAACTTGATTAATATATGTACAATATAGGCTTCAATTGCCATTTTTTTGGCTATGTTTGATTGTTACTCTTATTTCACAGTATGATGATGCTTTTCTATATTTTTTTAATTTACAGGTAGCCTTCTTCTTGTGGTTTGCTTTATCCGGGTGGTGGTTCAGATTTTTCGTTATAGCTACTTGGGTTCTGCCGTTCGCTGCTCTTCTTATTAGAATATTTGCCAATAGCTTTGCTATAAAGGTTAGCTATACTTACCGTAATCATGTTATGAACTTGTTTGTATTTTTTGATGAAGTTGCTGAGATTTTCTAATATGAGTAAGCTGAATGGTTATCTAGATCAAAAGCATATGGTTGCCAGTTTTTCACCTTTAACCATATAAAAGTATTTGATTTGTATGTAAATAAGAGATGTCAAAACGTATTATTCAGGTCATCATTAGTGACTTTATGTAAATATTTCATAATTAAATAAGTGCAGTCACCAAATCTGGCTCCGTTATTAATTTTACTAGTATTGACGAAGATCGTTCTTGTTTTGTATTTCTTATACACATTTAAAAATACCACGAAAATAAAATTCTTTTTGAAAAATTATTATTTTTCTTATAGATTGGATCAGAGCCCCTCTCTCTCTCTAACTATATATATAATTAGTTAGTTTATGACCAACCCACAAAATTATATAATTTTATCTTGGGAAATTTACATACATATCACTATATTAGTATAACTTTACATATCTAACACCACAAATATTAATATTACACTTATACCACCAAAATTCTTATTTTACCTCATTTCTGCCACTCTGGCTACCGCATACTTCACGGCGTATTTCCCCCCGCCGAAATCCCCTTGGCACGCAACTTCTCGCGAGCTATGTTTGTCTTCATGAACTCCTTTTCGCGGACATTTGCTCGCAAATTCCTTCGGGGGTGCTGCCTTCCAGAGAGGTAACGACTCCATGCTCTTCTTTGAAATCTGAAAGTATACCAACTATGTAAAAGCAGTGAAAGTATAGCAACTATTTATTGCTATTTCTACTGCGAGCACACAAGGAGAGCTACAACAGAACTCACCTAGTTACGTCAGCAACCTCATGTATACAAAAAAAAAACCAAAAAGACCTAGAGGAAAATGCACTCGGGAAACACAACTGCAACCTCATGTATACAAAAAAAAATCAAAAAGACCTCCAAAGCCAACTAACAATGCTCCCGGCCACCGCCTATGTCCTTCGAAGCCAACAAACAATGTCCAGCCATCGCGGTCCTCCAAAGTCAATGAACAATGTCCAGCTGCGAGCCCCAACTTCCTCAATATGCGTGCCAAACAAGGGGGAAGAAGACATCATGAGGATCATGATAACAGAGTGGTAGAAATGAGGTAAAATAGGAATTTGAGTAGTACAAGTGTAATATTAATATTTCATATGTTAGATATGTAAAATGATAGTAATATAGCGGTATGTATGTAAATCCAACCAAAAATTTCCTTAAATCCAACCAAAAATTGAATTGTTATTTCAAAAAAGAAGATAATTAATGATAAATGATTTGGTGTACAGGGTGCTTGCCCAGCTTGTAAAAGACAGTTTGTGGGATACCGCAACCAAGTTATTCGTTGTGCGGGCTGCAGAAACATAGTGTGGCAACCAGGGAGTGATTTTTCAAGCAGCAGAAACAATACTTCTTCCTCTAAGCCTTATGAGGCCGACATAATCGATATTGAGATCGAGGAGAAATGAGGTAATGCTTATTTTAATTTGTGAATAATGAAGCCCTTTCCTTTTTGTGTGCTTACTGTTTCTCAAAAGATCATCAAAATCACTTGAACGTGAAGAATTATTTGCTCAACATAACAATTTTCACCACAAAATTTGATCTTGCAACATCTTTTGTATGGTTGTTTCATGGCGTTGTGTTGTAGGCAAAGGAGATGTAAATTTGAAGAACTTTTTTTTTAGTCTGAATCAGAATTTATTTTGAAATAAGCACATTACAAATATCTTATATGTTAGTCATCTCAAAGCAAATCCACAAGAAGCAAAGTATTGGTTAGGATGTTTTTGGTTTTTTTTTTTTCAGATTTAAAATCATAACAAAGATTCTGTGTGGTGAGTTGCAGGTGCTTGTGGCTGCATTAAACCTGTAAGTAATGAAGACTCTGTTCATCTCAAATGCTTCATTTGCTTTATTATTGATCGTGAACTTGCACTCTTTGGACATTTAGTCCAATTAAGGCAAACTTAGACTTGGTTTGGGATAGTTTTTTTATTGCTTTCTAAAATAGCTTTCTAGTACAAAAATTTCTTGCATTAAAAAATTTTATACTATAAAGCCGTTTTAGGAAGCAGTGTGAAAGTTGTCCCAAACGAAGCCTTATACGCATATAACACATGCAAAACTCGAATTCAAGATCTTTTGGTTGATAGTCAAAACTCCCAATTAATAGGCCACGGTGGACTGTGAAACCTCGTGGTTCTCCGTTTAATTCATTCCAAACGTATTTTCTATGAGAAAAATAGCATCCACAAGCTTGTAATAGAGCTTTCGATTAATAGGTTCAAAAAGCTTTTTTAGCTTTGCAAAGAGATAATAATTATTATAACCATCAGCCTTGGGCAAATATTTGAGCTGCTTTTTATAAAATTTCATTTTCTATTCATTTGTATTATCGTACGTAACTTTTAATTTATTACTCTATGGATATTCAAATCGCCTGAATTCATTTTTTCTCTATTTTTTTAAGTAATCATTTGCTCTCAAAATATTTTTATATAAAAGGATTTTGAGGTAGCTTTCTTCCTTTACTCTTTTAGACTGTAATAGTAATTTTGTTTGTTTATTATTTTTCTTCTGTTTTAAGAAATTTTCGTCCAGGAAATCATTTTTTACACCATTTAAAAATATATATATATATATATATTTTTGCAATAATTTTACAAGCATTTTTTCAAAAAGACGCAGCCGTTGTAAATAGACCCATAATAATTATTTTTCACATCCCTATGTTAATATATATATGAACTAATTGCAATTTAATATTTTGAAATATAAAATATTATCTTATCTGATAGTACTCTTTAAGGTGCTTCTGCATTTTATTCATGTAGCCTGAATAGTTTAAGTAATAATTATGTATCCTCGATTTTCTCGATAATTAATTTAAAGGAAATTTATATACATAACATTCAAAATTATTTTAGGTAGATATTCAACACTTAAATTCTAATTTAAGTTTTATTTTTATTTTATAAGTATTTATTTTATTAAGTACATATTTATATTCTAAATTAATTTATCGAGTAAAAATTACTTTTTGTTGAAAATTTGATAAATAAAAAAATATGATTAAAAATAAATATAAAATAAAATATGTAAAGACTATATATAGATTTTTTTTATTAGAAAATAAAATTTGGCTGAAAATGAGTTACTCCATTTTGAAGTTTTATTAAATTTTCCAGCAGAAAAAAGAAAAATTTCATGGAAGTGACCTAATTTCCACTTGTCATTTACATGTACAATATTTTTTTGTATTTTTTTTTTATATATACAATATTGTATACAAAGTACATTAGGGCATCTCCAACCGAAAATCCCATTTTTCACTCCAAAATACAGTGAAACTCAAAAATGCCGTGATTCATCTCTAATCAAACTCCATTTTACGAACTTCTGCAAAGGCAACCATCTTTCTCCTCTTTGGCGCATTTCTACGGCAAATCCGATTGAGATAGAAAAATCGCATTGGTGAACAGTGAAACACCAATATTGACGTCACACTATTCACCCACAAGCAAATAGCGGAAGATTTGGTGTTCGGCTGGAGCGACCGAACGACATCATACACATGTTTGACGTTCGGTTGGAAATGGTCTTAGAAACACAATGCCAATGAAGATTAGGTCTCCTTCAAAAGGCTAAGAAGAAACATCTACCTATTTCTATTGATATAGATTCAAATATACTTTCTGATTATAATAGAAGGAGAGAAATTCATAGCTTCGAGGCTTCGCCAAACATGAGATCATTTACGTAGCTAATATCTAGATCAGAAATTGGTTCTATTGGTTGTTCTTCCCCTTCTATAGGAACAAAAGGTGAAGGTTCCCTGCTATATTCATCTGGAGAGAAGCAAAGCAAAAAAGAATTGAAACCAAATAGAGGCAGGCATAGAAAACAAGGTGAAATAATAAAGGTATAAAACTGAACATTCTATATCCAGCTCGAAGATAATAAGTTCTCAAAATTTGAATTGGTTTTTGACTTGGATTCTAGTCAAGAGCTCACTAATCAGCCAAAGCTAGCTCAAACTCAGCTTGAATTGAGCAAAGATGATGATAATCATTTAATTGAATTGCCAAAAAAACCAATTAGAGAATACTTATTCACATAAATTATACAAATCTTTAAGCCATGGATGAAGTATGTAGTGTCTGACACGGGTTGTACATGGAATTGCGTTCTACACAATGAAGATGTGTACGATTAAAATAATATTAGAAAATTGGACACACACGTGTTCTAAATTTCTTATGAAAAAATATTTTTAAATATAATTTTTATATTTTGATTTTTTTGGTTATTAAAATAATAAATTATTTTTCCCCTATCCATAGCCCCAAATCAATCGCGCACACTCAATGCTCATCCTTTGAATCTTTTTGACGGGTCACGACTATGGTTTCACATTGACGCTTAATACCATTTCAACATCATCATCTTGACATTAACATTTTTACGCTCACAATCATGCCCCTGCATAGTCTCAACATCTCCTATTTGTCCAACACCACTCAACATCGATGGCCAACTCAATCCTAACATTGATGCTCGATGCCCAATGCACAATATCAATGTTCAGCTTTTAAAAGCATTGTCGTCTCCCATCTTGGCACCTGACTCTTGACAGGCTAATCTTAATCATTTTAAGCATAAATTCTAGTTAAATAATTACTTTTTTATTATTCTTAATGTTCTATTTAACATTGTCGTTGTCAAGTTCCGAACTCTGGATGAGAAAAGTAGATTGTTTTATTAGGTGTTCATAACCATCGTAAAACTTGTTAAATAATCATGACATGAATCACTTAATATTATATTTAATTAACTTTCATGCGCTTTTTTAAGATATGAAATATATAATATCGTGTCTAACCCATATTCACACCCTATATTATAAATAATTGACATTCTCATATCCATGTTGTCATATTTGTGTTTGTGCATCCTAGGACATAGCCATCATCTATTTTATGTTCTTATTCGTTCTCCCTAATTTGTGTTAGGTTTCGCCGACTACTCAATAAAAACTAGATGGTTCTAGACAAATGCAATAGAACTATAATCATATATGTGATTTCCAGTATGTAAGCCTTACCAAATATTGTGCTAAAAGAAGTTGGAGGAGGAGTCACCATGAAGTTCAGTCCAATGTAGACTGCAATCACCAAAGCTACAGTCACCATAACAAAAGTTGGAACTGCCAATGCCCAAATCCTGAAAATTGAGTCATCCATTTTTACAATTCAATTAAAGCTGATATACATCTAAGACTTCATTTGGAACTATTTTTTTTCTGCTTCTTAAAGTAGCTTTCTAGTATAAAATTTTTAATTTTTTACTAAAAAACTGTTTTATGAAGCGGTAAGAAAGCCGTTCCAAACGAAGCCTAAATCTCTGAAAGCTCCGTATATGCATAAGAGTTTTCTTAAATAAATGCAGTGTCGCATATCCTTTGTCGTGGGTAATAATAGAAAGTTTTAGGAATCAAATGAACTACAACAAGCAAATAAATTAATTGAGAAGAAAATGAATAAGAGAGATATATTATATAGATGAAACAATTTCCGATCACAGATTGAAGAAGATGCAAAGAAACTTCTATGTGATTAGAAGATGCAAAGAGACAGACTAATGTGTGATCACATCCGTGAAATTCGGGGCCCTGCACATTCCTTCACACCATCTCAGCCAATTCATGAATGATTTCCCAAATAAACGTCAAATCATGATATGTAATTTAGTTTAAATCTGATAGGAAATACTTGAGAAATCCAAGTAATCCCTAACAAGAGAGAAGAAAACAACAAATGAACAAGATTCGGATGGAAAAATTCAGCAAAAACAGCACCTTTTGATTGACGGAAATCAGTTAAATGATGAAACAAACAAGATACAATTGATCCTCAATTTGAGAGGAGGATCTTCTCTCCCAATCCCTAGAAGAATATCTAGGGCCCAAGACTCCAAGACAAGAACTCTCTCAAAAACAACTACCAAAATATGCATAACCCTAACCCTAAACAACTCTTGCTATTTTTAATCCTAACTTCCTAATTTCAAACTCCGGATTCAAACTTTGCTCTATCATTGTTTATTCCTAATTCTACAACACTAATTTATTTAATTGTCGAATAGATGAATTTTGTAAGCATGTTGTAACAACTTAAATCTAATTTTAACAACTCTGGCCTTCTTTAACGATCAGAGTCATCAAATATTCTAGAATATAAGTCTCATCATCCTTTGTCATACTTTGGTAATTCCCTCAACTAAGTCCTACTAGAAGAAGAAGAAGTTGTAATAACCAGATCTTACAATTCTTTGATTGCTATGTTATGACTACACATCTCTTTTTCAACACTTGTTGGCCCCTTCCATAACCTTTGTACCCTTCTTAGCCTCAAATGCTCATTCTTATTGATTGTTGTCACTCTTACTAGTTGATTGTTACATCTCTAAACTTTCTATATCCTTTGTTGAACATAAATAATACAAGTTGAGAATTTAGTAGAGAGTGTTATATGATATTGCACCAAGGGTGTAATTAATTATAAGGGCTTACGCTTATGGAAAGTCTCAATTCCCCAAAGCTAAATAAATCTTATTTGATTCCTAGTAAAATTCAAAAAAATTTAGGATATATTTTTTCCACCGTATTTCTTCAATTTTCACATAAATTTTAGGATGTGTTAGCCTCTTACTCTCAAAGGCCGCTATTCAATACGAAGACTTGAAGCTCTTTAAAAGCTCCAAAATTCTAGCAACTCCATTGTATAAGGTTCTCTCTCTATATCTAAAGCTCCATTGTATAAGGTTCTCTCTCTATCTCTTCAGCTAAGTTGGCCATGCTCTACATCTATTAGCCAATCTAACTAAGAATCAATCGAGCATAATGCGTTGTATGATAATTACTCTTGTTGTTGCACCTCTACATTACGATCATCCACATTGATTTCCTTGGACCTTTCAACCCGAGACGATCACTACAACTCACTTCTAAGAAGATCATCCAGGACATATGGTTCATTCTCGGCGCACCTAGGTACACCCCTGCAGGTAATCTTAACAACACAAAGTAACATATACAAAATCCAGGTACATGGATATCAATGGAATCCATTAGAATCCAGCAACAGAAAAGAAATGAAAAACTATGCAAATGGATAGAAACAAACTAATAAACCATCCATTTATAAATGTCACAAAATCTAAATTCAGCAGAAATGGTTTAATATAGGAGGAAAATAAGCCCAATTTTATACCGAAGCTTATGAGAAAACATTTAAAAAAAAAAACCGATTAATGTGCTTTTGAGAAACGAATCAGCACAACATACTAAAAAAATTTCTTTATACACTAAAAACAAAATGTTAAAATTGCACTGACTTGCTCGGATAATATGTGATTCCCAGAGAATGCAACCACGGTTCAGGAGTGTACGCCCACACCAAATAAATCACTGCATGAAAGAAACTCATCAGAGGCATTTCTTCGAGCACGTTGAAGACACAGATAAAAAAAGAAGTACCGGTGGCTATGACGGTGGTGATGGAGCCGACGAAACCGTAAACTTCAGAGGGTTTAGGGCCGTGCTCGGCCGCAAATCCTGCCACCGCAGCCGGCGACTTCTTCTCCTCCGGATCAAATGAGAACGTAGAGGATCGCCTCTCTCTCAGCAAGCTCAGCGTCTTCCTCGGGCTGCTCACCACCAGTGGAGTCGGCGAGGACGGCGGCGACGACATTTTCTTTCTCTGATCTTCCGTTCCCCTCCCAGCTATAGCGTTTGGCAAGGAAGCCGGTGAATAAAATGATTTGCTCAACACTGCTCAACACGCCCCCTATATAAGTATAAGTAGGCCCCTAAGCAGGGCAAATTATTAGGTGCCATCACCAGATGTTCCGAACTCAATAAAAATATATCACATGATATCCTATTTGATACTAAGCTCGGTACTGACTGCTCAGTATTGCTCGGTACTTGATACTTTATAATTTCGAGCTCAATATTATTCGATACTGTGAATACCTAACATAAGCTCCGAACATAATAATCTCTTCCTAAGCAGCGGCATAAGAACCGCTTCCATTTTTTTTTTCCAGCGCCATAAGTTTTTTTTATTATTTAAAGGGAATTAAGGAATTTAGGCTTTGTTTGGCAAGCTATCTTACTACTTCATAAACTACTTTTTTAGTATGAAAAATTATACTTAAAAAAAATTCTTCAAAAAAACAAAGTCCCAAACGATCTTAGATTTCATTTTTCATATGCCAATATTGAACGTAGAACCTCTTTATTCGAAATCAAAGCTCTCAATTAACATATTAAAATGAGCTGATATTGGAAGAGCTTATTTATTTCAATCTATTTAATTGAAATAACTTATAATGAAGGGATTTATGACCACTCAATTTGTTTTAATCTACTCATTTAAAATAACTCATAGTGAAAAGGATTCATATCCCCTGTTTTTTGCTAGAATTTTTTTTTTTAAATCATGAATTTAAATTATACGTTTCATAGTTTATAATTATTTTTTATTATTATTAAAAAATGTATTATAATGTGAATCTTAAATCAAATTGAGTCTAATCAAATGCAACTGTATGAGATGTACTTGATTAGAATCAATTTGATTTAAGATTTGCACATTATAACATTTTTTTTATAATTTAAAAATAACAAATTATAAATTAAGCAGAGGCTCCATAGTTAAATAATCAAGCTTAAAGCATCCCATACACTGTTGGATTTTGTAATTTCTTAAAAGATCCTTAAATAAATTTGAAAAAGAATCTCCTAGCAGAAACTTCTGCTCTTGCTAGAACATGAACATTATTCATATATTACATTTTTTAATTAAAAAAAAAGATAAATCGTTTAAAAAATGATTAAACATTCAATCAAAACCATTCATTACAAACATATCATGAATAATCCATGTATTAAATTCAAATCATTCACAAAATTACCGCAAATGAAATTAAATAATGTGCATTAGTATCTTCTACAATGAAAAGAACTTTAAATTGCCACAACACATTGCGTGATCAGGACTAACAAGTTACACAAATTTTCAGCTCTACAGGGGTGACATTGTTCTTCAAAGTCTTATAGGACATTATTAATAATATTTATTAAGAAAGAAAATAAAAAAACATAACAGCTGCGAAAATAACAGACAAAGATTAGATATAACGATCTGCTATATCTGGTATAAATTCTTTAGAACATACTCAACATATCAGGTTCCATGCTACAGCTACACAAAAGCGAGGAAGTCTACAGTACCTGCAAATAAAACAAAAGAATATTCTCCATTTTGAATGAGAAAAAAAAAAGGAAAACTGAATAAAAATCTACTATCTGAGAAGTGATAAATAAGTTATTATTCTATTATACCTTGACAAGTAAAATTAAACATTCTGTAATATTTGGGTAGAAACCCTCCAAACAAGTTAAGCACCCTGCCAGCAGAAAAATAACAGTAAATTGTAGCAGGATACCAAAAAAAAAAAAGTCTACTGCGCATTTATGTGTAGAGAAATACACAATTATTACAAATCTTTTCCAGGGCCAGCTTGTCATTCAAAAGAAACATGGTCATGCATATTTCTGAATGCGATCATTTAGTTGCTTGTAAATAGAAAAGATATTTTAGAAAGTGATGATTTTATTTTCAGCTGTTTTGTGACTAAATATTAAGGCTTAGTTTGGGACGATTTTTTTACTACTTCATAAAGCAACATTTTAGTATAAAAATTTTAATTTTTGAACTAAAAAGCTGTTTTATGAAGCAGTAAAAAAACTGTCTCAAACGAAGCCTAAATCATCCTTAGAGAATTTGAGAATGTTTGGAAGCAATCTACCGCAGTGTCTAACTATATCAAATCAAATAATGAATTCAATAAACTTCCATAATTTTTTTAAAAATATGATTTCTGAATTCGAGGTACCAAATGAGCCCTAAAGGCTTGAATGAAGATTCACATTGTATGTAAATATATGATAGTTATAACACTTTAATCTACAGAGATATAGATCCAAAACAATGTATCAGCATAATAATATAGGACCTTGTTTGGGACGATTTTTTTACTGCTTTTTAAAACAATTTTTCAGAACAAAAATTTCTTAAACTAAAAATTTTTATACCAGAAAACTACTCTAGAAAGTATTAAGAAAGCGCCCAAATGAAGCTTTCTTACTACTCCTTAAAGCAACTTTTTAGAACAAAAGTTTTAATTTTCGTATTAAAATGCTGTTTCAGGAAGCTGTAAGAAAGCCGTCCCAAACAAAACTTAAATCATAGACTACATCAGTATCTACATGCTATTGAATATCTATTTTCCAGTATGCATGTGATCGAGATTTGAGATTTGTTTTTTTAATTAAACTTCATGTATCTGTTGAACTTAGAAGTTACCTTTTTGCTAAAATTGGAGAAAATAACTTTCACAGACTCAAAGACATCATCTATAGGCTTTGCAGCATCAACCTGTGCCAATTTCATCAATCAACAAGTGTATGGAACATTAGTTAATACAGAAGATGGACTTGCAAAAACATTTCTATCTCAATTGCGCTTTCAAGTTACAGAACTGGAAAAATGTTAGAGCTACAACATCAATTTACACGTTCAGATTTCCTGAAAGATGAGAGGCTATTGACAATGAAAACATAGATACTGGTATATATACACAAACACCTGTAAAGCTAGATAAAAGCAACTTAGGATTCGTTTGGGACGACTTTCTTACTGCTTCTTAAAGCAGCTTTTCAGTACAAATTTTTTAATTTTTGTACTTAAAAAATTACTTTAAAAACAGTAAGAAAGCCATCCCAAATGAAGCCTTAATCTAAAAGATGTGTTTACTGTTTAGTATGAAATTCTAACTGCTTTATTGATTAAGTTCAAATAAATCCAACTGCCATCAAAATTTAGCAGCGCCTAAAAGATAGAAAAATACTGATTTTATAATTCAGCGATATCTTGAACAACAAAATGATGTGCATACCTTCCGAACTTTGCCTTTTAAATTGTAATAATCAACCACGGGTAAGCTCGACTCTAAGAAAACCTTGAAACGTTTCCTTATAGTCTCAATATTATCATCATCTCTACCCTATCATGAATATAATAAAAATCATAAGACGTCAAAACCACAACAGGTAAGCAATTTTCAATTTCTTAATCAATTTTGCATACCCTTAACATGTTAGTTCGAAGCTTTTATAGTCAGTAAGAAGATTAATAACAAGCATGATGTAAGAAGGTAAAGGTCAATTAAAAACTGTATTGTTTTAAGAGTGTAAGACCTGATTGCGTCCTAATAAGCGCCTCTCCATCTCTTCCTCTGGACAATCAAAAAACAGCACAAACTCTGGTTCGATCTTTGTCTGCAGCAACAACACAAAATAAACATTAACAAATCGATAAGAGGAAGGAATTTGTGATAAGCAGAATGTAGGCTTACAACTTCCTCAAACGCAGCTCGATTCTCCTCATTTCGAGGAAATCCATCTATGAGAAACTTGTCATTTCCATTTTCCAGCATGGCCTTCTCTAAAAGCTTGATTGTTACCTCAGATGGAACAATCTTTCCCTCCTTAATCATGTTTTGAATCATTGTGCTGTCATCAGTATGACAAATTAGGCAATTATTCAACGTTTGCAGAATAATTCTTCATGAATATATCATCTAAATTAGAGAGGTGCCAATAATACCAAAAATAAATATGGATAAAGCAAAGGCCAAAGTAGGCATTTTCTCCATACCCATTTTCTGAGCCAGATTTAATCTCTGCACGAAGAAGATCGCCTGCGCTGAGATGTGTAAAGCCAAATACACGAACAATGTTTGCACACTGGGTGCCCTTTCCACTGCCAGGTCCACCTAAGCATGAATTTCAAGATGAAGTCATGCTGATCAAACTTCTATGTAATGATACAAAGAAAATGTTTAACGCTTCAAGTTATGGCATCTTCAACAAAAATTTAGCTCAAAATAAAGGGAAAGAAGAAATTGCATTGATTCTTCATGAGCGTATTTCAAAACCAAACCCACCAAATATTCTAACAAAACAACTGAGCATGTTCCACTAATTTAGTTTCAACAATCTTAACATTTTCAAAATAAAAAAAGTAGAAATATTCAAATAACTCTTTAAACTATTAATCTATCCTTTAAGTTTTCTGAGAGAGTACGCCTCATTGATTATAAGAATATAATTTTGATCCACATGATTGTTATATTATTACTGACTAACACCATATTATACTCCATTTTAAAAGTGTACAATTTTTTTTGCTTGAGCCAATTAATATGTCCTACATTGAGTTATATGATGATACAAATATAAGCTTTAATACTAATTTGATGTAGGATGACTGAGGATTACGGTTTTAATGCAATCAATATGATGCGAATTAAGAATACAAGCAAAGAATTTTAAAAATTCACAAATCATAAGACATCAAATAATTCATTTACCTTCTTTCTTTAAATGTAAATATGCAATACTATAGTTAAAATCCAAATAACAATGAAAAGATCTAAATAATCAAATAAATTCATCGAGGAATTATAAATTAGCTTGCAATTAATTTTAATTTCCACAAAATGGATATTCAACTTGTCATTTTTTTATCAAATTAGAGATTAGCACTAAATAAGTCAACATCAAGGGGGGAAAAAATCAAGCCTCACATAAGTATAAGAAGATAACTTCCTTTGAAATTAAATAGTTAAACTTTTACAATACTCTGAAGAATCACACACCTAAATTGCACAAAAGAAAGAGAATAAAAACAAAATTTTATTCATGACAAAGTTGATAATTATATGTCATATAGGGGTGTCAATATTTGACACGACCCGAAAACCCGAATCGACCCAGACCTGAAAATTTCGGGTTAGAGTCAACCCGAACCCGAAACGGGTCGGGTTCGAGTTCAAGAATTCGACCCTTTTCAAAAATCAGGTCGGATTCGGGTTGACCCTTTGACCCGAAACTGACCAAAACCATGCCCGTTTTTTACCTAAAAACCCATTTTGACCCGGCAACTCGAGATCGACCCGTTTTGGATCCTTTTTTACTAGAAAAGCGGAGATTGACCCGCTTTTGGACCCGAAAACTAGCTTTTTTTTTGTTGGCACAGGGTCATTCGGATCGTGTCGGGTTGACCCAGACCCGAAACGGGTCGGGTTCGGGTTGACCCGAATAGTGTCAGGTCAGTTTCGGGTTCGACTCGAAATTGACACCCTAATGTCATAGAACATCTAGTTATAACTCCTCATACCCTAGGTTAGTAGATATGATTTTCATAAAATAATCCAAATCTAGTTTAAATAATCCCAAAATTCAAGATTCAGGTTCTACAAAATTCAAACAACAATCATACCAAAAAAAAAAACTTGTGAAGCCTAACAGACTAAAAGCGATTAGGGAAAAACATGTAAAGATAAAGGTTAATAAATACCACAAATAATGGGTAGATCCTACCCACGAAGTCATCCACACAAAGAGATCATGTAAAGCTCCACACGAATAATAATAAAATTCTTGTGGTAAATATCGAAAATAGATATACCATAATACCATGCAATTTCAACAATAATCAAACCATGTCAAACTCATAAAGCTTAACCTCGTGTATACTCTAAGCAAATAAAACCAAGAAGACCTCGCAAACAAAAGGTAGCTACAACAGCAATTATACACGGAACAAGTATGTAAAACAAGAACCACCATCCAAAGCCAACGAACATAGCTATCAGCCACAGCTTAAAGAGCAAGATCCAATCTCAACTCAAGCAATCTTGAATCATTTTTCAATTCAAACTCGATCAGAGCAAAAAATTAATTTGATTCAATAATCCTTTAATTTTAAAAGGCAAATTAATGGTCCAACTCACCTAACAGCAAAAATATATATCAATAGGCTCGTATCCTTTTATGTAAAAAGTTTTCATCATTCATACAATTTGTTTTTTATGGTAAAACCCGTAAATGCAAGATCAAGATTATTGAGCTGGATATATAACCTAAGAACAATTTGATGATCAAACGTTATAGTTTTTTTTATAAAGATTCAATAAACCATTAATGTTATTGACACCAAATCATTAAAATTAATGTATATGCATTTTTATACATGAAAATAAATTTTCTTCTGATTTAAGTACTCCTGCTCAATGAATTTAAAAGTTATTTTTATCAGCTCGATGCATAATCAAATCAACTAGAAAGTTCATGAAATTTGACATCATATCAATTTACATGGAGAAGGTTAATGTAAATAGTATTTATTTGTTATATATATATATATATATATATATATATATGGGATTTTATTTCCATTTCAAACTTAGGCTGGATTAGGCTTGAGTTGAAAATACCATAGGGCAACTAGCCGAGAACTTGGGAGTTTTGAAAGCTAATTCCCCAAGTGCTTCAAAAGAGTTCATATATAATTGTATGTACACATGTACTCATACCTATATACATATAAATATATTTTGATTTGATTTCAAACTAGCTCAAGAAGAACAAGGCTCGAATCAATTGAAGATATGTGCTAAACTTGGCTTGCTAAGCTAACTCACTCATTCCAACTTGAGATTAATCTAAGAAAAATATATGCATGCATATGCAATTTTCATGTGATTGTTAATATTCGAGTTCAATTCACTCCTACAATTTTTTCATCAGTGGCAATAACATTATTCAAGATGATAAAGAGTTCCTTTTCTAATTCTTCAACAGCTAGTAAATCTGATCACTTTATGATGCCTCACAAATTTACAGCCCATGTGTTCAGATCGATTGAGAAAATAGAAAAATAAAAAAGACTAGAACCTGGCAGGGCTAAGCTTTCAATTTCTTATCAAAAAGAAAGGAAAGCAGGGAAAGCCGTTTTCAACTTTATTGCCATACATTGATCATGTCATTTTCACATGTTTTTTAAAAATATATGTTAACAAGTAATACTACAAAAATACAACACAATATCACAGAGAAGATTTAGATAAAATTCTCAAAACAGAGTAACATTTTTCTTAAGAGTTGCAATAGTTGTTGCATGATCTAAAGTAATGAGGCCTTACCTAAGACGAAAACAACTTTAACTCCCTTTTCTTTCAATCTCCCAACTGCATCCTGCAAATCGAATCATCACAAAACATTATGTACTCTGAAACAAAAAGCCAGTCATCGTTGAGTATATACTTATTAAATAATACATTAGTTTCTAAAGATTCAAGAAATACTGCATAAATGAGATTCCAAGGGAATTTTGATATTAAACTAGGTTACTAGAGAAAACCAATTAACAATTCAGAGTTTTCCAGACAGTTCATATGTGATTGGAGCCTCATCCCGATGGTATATTTAAAAACCTTAAAACCAACCCAACATGGAACAGGATGGATGACATTAAAACCTTGTTACACATACATCCTAGTACTTTTTCAGATGCATCAGAGAAGCCTTTGCATTGCAATAAAAAATTTACAGACCATACATGCACAAGTACTAAGAAGAAAAAGGGAAATCCAGTACCAAAGACTTGTCATTACAAAGTTATAAGGGTTACTAATTTAAACCAACAAGTGAGATTAGTAAGTTGGATTAGATGAAGCTCTACATTGAATATGCAGCTCGATAGGAAAATAAAAAACATAAAAAGATCTAAGAAGAAAAGGTAGTTATACCTACCATGGTTGTATATGCTGCTTTCGGAGCATCTACTACAGTGCCCATTGACTCCAATAGTTAGCTATAGCTGTACTTTTCGGCTGTAAAAGGATCATATACATGGTTGTTTACGACATGGTTAGGTAAATTGAAGTACAAGAAAAATTTAAAAGCAAATATGATTGATATTGTCCCCACACACACACACACAAACATATATATATATATATATAGTTTCACGAGAAATTTAGAAGAAACAAATATAGTTATCAATCAATTGATGCTTACGCATGAATTGCGTATAATAAAGATGGCATTGCTTCTGGAGATAACAAAACCTAAATAATATTTTATGGCTTGATACAATAGCTTATTTCAAACAAAATATAAACATTGAATATGATGCTATGTTTTTCCAGAGAGAGCCACAAAACAAAGGCAAAGGAGACAACCCCTCCCTGGTACTGAGACATGACACCCAATGTGTTGAAGGTGCCTCAACTAATAATACTCCATCTGATCAAGCTAGCATATACTCTTTCCTTATGATTTGTTCCATCTTAGGTTTTCCAATACTTCATCGCCAGTAGTTAAACCTAGACCTGTCAATTTCGGGTTACGGGTCGGGTTGACCCGAACCCGAAACTGACACGGCATTATTCGGGTTCGGGTTGACCCGACCCGGTTTTTCAAACGGGTCAATTTTCGGGACCCGAACCCGACCCGCTTCGGGTTCCGGTCAACCCGACCCGACCCGCGTAGCCGCTACGGACGCAGAACTGGCGGGGCAGCCGTGACGGCGTGACGCGGGTA